ATTACACATATGGCGTTGGAGATACCAAAAACATAATACACAATGCCAAAAGTTGGGTCACACCTTTTATATCACTTTTACTGCTCCTTCTACGTTTTTAGCGTCTAGTTGTTTAAGCGAAACTGTTTTCTTTTCTCATAATCGCTCACTCGATGTCCAACTATTAAAAGAGAATGGGTGGACCGATTGCGATGAAATTTTGCAGATGGATTCTTTATCAAATTTGTAGATAGGAGTTCGCGAATTGCCCATATCGCCCAAAAATAAGCAGTGCCCTTTTGACACTTCCGTTAGTTATGCACCGAATTGCGCGAATTTCAAAATATGCATGCCGACATCACGTGATAGGCATAGCCAACATTTGGGTTTGATAAATTCAAAAGTCACAGTGGCTTTTTGAATTCTCAGCCATTTATTAAAATATTTAAAAGAGAACATCTTCAATCGACCACATCGGGTGGAGAACCCGAATAAATGACTTAAAGAGACACATACGGTCTATGTTCCAATCGTCGCGAACCAGCCCAGATTTTTCGTTATCTGCAGTATTTAACGAAACACCACCTCCACTAAACAACAAAACTCTTTTCAGTGTTTAGAAATAATGCGCCAATTACAATAAGCATTGATAACTCCAGCTGCGAAGGAAAGCGCTCTCACTTATTCCCAAAATGATGCGCACAACTTTAGCCACCTGCATCTCTTGTTATGTGTACCAAAACACGTCCGTACATTAAATTACGTCCGATAACACTCCTTATCGCAAAACAACCAAGATGAAACCATTTTAATTTATTAATCATAATAATTTTACATTTTAACACGAAAATTCACGTTTTACAAATAAACTTTGCGCAGTTACCTAAATTATAAAAACAAAAATAACACTACAGAAATACAAAATCGAATGAAATAAACCAATTCTATGCTTATACCTAAATAATTCCCTCGAATTACTTTAAAAGATTGAAGTGTCTCATATACAGGGTGTCCTGTCCTGTTGTAAACAAGTAGGTTTTGTATTTTTGTTTTATTTCATCGTTCAAAAACCTCAGTATTGTGCCAATTAGTTAACAAGTCGTTTCATTAGTTGGAAGAATACTGAATTTTTAGATGGTAAAAAAGCGTTTTTTCGAATTCAATTTAGCCCCGTTTAACAAATGAAGTGCTAGCTTTGAATTGAATCTTAGTTTCATTTTTTGGGTTAACCTTACCGAAGCACTTTTATATTAACTTAGAATTTTTGTTTTTTTAAAATAACCATCTGAACCGAATTCTCAAGTTTTCTTAACAAAATTTTAATCAGCACATATAACAGCAAAACTTCTTACCCAAACTCCATCTTCAAATTACCAACGCAACGGCACTCGACAGATTATACCAATTAACTTTGAAATTCGCTTTCTAAAATATAAATTTTAATTATAATTTAGATTCACTTACTGTTTGCGAAATTTAATTAACTAGGTACTCTACTTTACAATTACTACATTCTTAAACATAATTTACTAATGTGAATTGCAATTGGGATTTATAATTCTTGAAAAGTTTTACTCTTTAAGATTGTTTCTCCACAGTACGCGAAAACCGAAACGATGTCTTTATCTTAAATGAAACAATTCGTAGGTACCTACATATTTTATAATTCTATCCTTAGTCCGGTAGTCGTCATTGCTATGATAAATGGGAAATTACATAAAAAAAATTAGAAAATGGTCAAAATCCACATTTTGGTCAGCATTTTTCCCATCGAATCTAGTTTTGAGATATATCCAGATATTTCGGTGTGTTTTGAGACATTTCCGATGGAATTTTCTAAGCACTTTAGGAGAACATATTTTTTTTGGGCAGTTATGTTTAAAATCATAAATCGCGCGAGAGACGTAAAAAATAGCAAGCTTAGGTTTTGCCTTCACGATCGTTTCCATAGAAACAGAATTGTCATATGTTTTGAACATGATTGTATATCATGCATTTTAAATAAGAATGACCGATGTCATTAGAATGCACTGTCATTTGTTTCACTTTATCTACCCTTGCGATTAAAGAACGGCTTAGCCTACTCATTCAAACCTATTAAAATAACAATTTAACATAATATGCTATAAAATAAAGAAAAGTAATTGTCGATAGACTGGAGATATTTGTGACAACGAATCATAATAAATGTAATGAATTACTAATCAGTCCGGAAGACGGGTTTTAATAAGCCTAAAGGAAACCTAAAAAGAATTCAACAAGGGAAGCTAGAGTACGAAAATTTTCTTTCAATCGTTTCATTTAAAGTGTCATTCTAATCAAATGTCAAACAGTGCCTAGTAACCATTGCCCTATATACTCGTAACTGGAAGGGAAACAAGCATATTATTAGTGAAGCCAAACAAGTGGTGGTATATTTATCTCTCTCGCACTAGTAACATTAAATTCATTGACATAATTTTTCTATTTCACTTAAATTCATACAGTTTTATTTTCTGCTTCTATCAGGTGTGCTAATAAACAAACTGGGCGCGATGAGAGTGACTGAAATAGTCATCCACCAACTCATTCTATCGCCCGGCTTCAAAGGTATGCATTTGTCGCCTATACCGGTTTCCCTTCCATGTTACATTGCTTACATTGTTTGGCTCTCACAACAAACCTGAGTACCTCCCCTCATGATCATAACAATTTGTTTCAATCTCAGAAATTTTCCTCTCGTCATTCTCCGGAGATGTATATATTTTAAATTAAATTTAATAATAATTAAATTTAAGCTACAAGGAATGTAAGTAGTGCATTAAGCTTTGAGGAAGTTTATAATATTCTAAAGCGACAGGAATAGAAGAAATCTGACTTGAAAACTCTATCGGTGTCGCACAATGGATTCGAATAAACCAGAATTAATTGATTGACAATGGCAAATATTTATTCCGACCGTGAAAAAAAGTTAAAACAAAATGCCTTAAAGAACGAAAAGCTTGCAAAGCTTGTTTAGACGGTTTAGGCGGTCGATATGTAAAATAAGAAGTACTAAAATTGGTTACAGTCTTTTTCTTACTAATTCAAATAATCTGGTTGTACAAGATTTTCGATATAAGGCGCATACTTAACTCAAACACACGCTGACAGTTTTTGTACTTCATTTTGCTTTATAACACAGAATTAAATGACAAACAAGACTGGTTTAATAAATAAGATGAATTCGGTAGCTGTTCGGACGGTAGAAACTTTTAAACAAAGTAGAACCTTAACAAAAGTTCTCTCTGTACTTCTTCCTTTTTCAACAAAACTTTTTCGGTACCTAATCGAACATGCGTTAAACTTTTTACACAATTTTGGTAAACTTTGTTCTGCACAGATTTATTAAAAAAAATGACGTACTGCGTCTTCATAAAAACAAATATGGTTGACTACTCGTCATTTAGCGTAAGAGACGCGTATACGGACTTTTTGACTCCGCCGTTTCGACCCGGGTTTTTTGCCTCCACCGATTTGACCCCAGGTACGCTTTACCCTAGTCGGTTTGACCCTAAGCCGTTTTACCCCCATGTCGATTATTGCTTTATAGCGGTAAGTAATTAGCATTGAAAACCTTATCTGTAATGTGGTTTCAAATCGAATTTGAATGGTATACTTTGTGAACTACTCGTTAATTTGTACGAGTAATTACTTAATGATGCAGTCAAAGGAAGGCTTCCTAATAAATATGCGATGGTAAAGGTAATTCAGCGAAAGAAGCTCCGCGTCGAACCTGCTCCTCCACAGCCGTTAAATCTGCCTGCATAGTAATTCTACACAATTATCAAATATCGAAGAAGAACAATTTCTTGTGTTTGATTCTGGTGTGGGCGATGCTACCCATCTGTATATTGGCGGTGTGAAACCAACTGGGGGCAAACCGTGGCTTCGGACAAATCCGGCGGGGTCAAAACGGCAGGGTTAAAGCGCCGATGTCAAATCGTAATGTACCCTAAACGCCGTCGAGAAAACTAGCGTTGTCTCCAGTATTTAAGGAATCACTACGTCCACCAATAAATAAACTCCCTTCTTTTAGGATTTTCAAATAAATCGGCAATCAACGACGAAACGCGCTAAACGTCCCCACTTCTCCAAAATGAAACGCTCAATACTTCAAAACACTGTCTTCTTAACAGCGATAAAAAATGTACGTTAACTAATTTTTACCTGATAAAACTCCTTATCGCAACAACCAGATAAAACTTTTATAAAGCACGAACATTTTTGCCTCGAAAATGTGCCTCTTTATACCAGAATCAGTACGTATGGTCAATTCTGGGGTGGAATATTGAGAATACGTTGACAGAAAGAAAAATTAAAAAAATTAATGAAAAGCCTCATAAATCCCCATAATGCTCACATGAAGAGTCCAGTTCCCTTGCAAAAGAGAAGGTATGGAAGTAAAAAAAAGAAAGATTTTGTAGGTTCAAAATATTAGCATTGACGTCACCGGGCAGCTTCTACGACTGAATCCACCTAAGTAGACGTGAAAAATCAACGGCGTGTGACATTTGATAAAATTCTGGCTTTCGTGCTTTGTCACAAACCACTAAACGTTCATTTTAATTAGGAACGTTTCATGATTCTCTAGTATTCGTACTTATTTCTGTAACGTCTTGCAACACTAACTAACGGGTTTTATTAATAACGTAGACAGCACGTGTCTCTTCTTATTTATTTCACTTATTTTATCAAATTCTTCAGGTATACTTCGTAAAAGCTTAGACAAAGCGGTGCGCTTTAGCTCGGAATGCGCTTTACTCCAAATCGTCTTCACGCAAACATTGCCAACTGGTTCTTTTTAAAATAATAGAAGAGTAATTATTTAACACATGGCTTCCTTTTATTTGACCTATGGCGTCGTATAGACTAGTAGGACAGGAATAGTTTTAGCTAATCTATTATTAGATACTTTACGTGTCACCGTACGGACCGCTCTTTGAAATGCGAAAGCGCGACGATATCTGTCCGAATTAATCACCCAGCTTTTTTGTTTCCAGGGGATCCAGAAGTGAAGAACACGAACTTGGGAAGTTGAAGACGCCGGGACGGTGAAGTCTTAAAATGACCTGAAGATTTCATTGCCCCTTGCCGAATGCTCGCCCCTGATCAAGACGCGCAAGCTGCCCACGTTTGTAGTTCAATGAGCGCGAAGAAACTTGAACTTTCAGCTTATGTGTCCAGCTGATTTTTGAAGTTTTAATAGCCGTTCCTGTACTTCGGTTGTGGACTAGGCGATTATATAATGTTAAGCGCATTTGTATATAAAGGAAAGTTAACTGTAGATTAGAGTTGTCGCTAGTCCAAACCGGGGACTATCAATTTTGGAGGTCCCAAGTTAGTCAGTAGAAGCTTTGTGAACTAACCAGCAAAAGCGCTACGTTATTAAAAAAACTCTCTGATTTGTTTTTTATAGAATAGATATGAGTTCTATTAAATAATATTAGTAATAGTGTCGGTAAGGGTTAATACTAGTAAAAATTATTTTCAATACAAGCGTGAATAAGAGTATTATTTAACTATGCATATTATTTGATAAGAATATTTACAAGTTGCGTACCTTTCATATACTCCTGTGAAGTCCATTACCAATGGACTGGCAAAGAAAGCATCCACTGTTGCGTGAGGTATACTCCAAAAGTCCATACGATCGGCCTAGATCATCCAATTTACACAAAAGAGGTGCATAAAAATCTAGCTTAATAGATATACAATTTACTTATAGATTTAAATATATTATCTTATTATACAAATAGAACAGTTGACACCACCTATAGAGTGGTATGTTTACAAATTGTGCAATAATTACATGGGTTTGGCTGTGGTTGTTATATATTTTTAGTGACTATTTAGTTAACGGTAAAATTTTGATGTGTAAATAACCGGAACGCGTACCTTTAGACACTGGCATTTTTTTGTTTTGAAACAGTACAAGTAACAAACACACTCAAATCTGTAAGGTTGGGCTAGTGATATCTACAATAGCTGTGTAGTTATAGCACCCTCTATACAAGGGAAAAAATTTAAATATATTCTATAGTTAGTGGCCTTTCAGGACTATATTTACACCATACGCATGGCTCAATTTATGTACTATATCAAACGATTGATTCTAATTATTACAAAAATTAGAGTATTCTCTGCTCTTTATACATTGTATTATGCGATATTATAGGAATAAAATGGTTTGAGGAAGCGTCGTTTTTAATAAACTTTCAGGACATTTTGCAACTTCATGCAAGTAGAGATGTTACCGATTTGCAGTGACATACGAAACGTAATCGACTTTTCACCCTTGCTCCTCGTTAACAATTCAATGTTTCAGCGCCTTGTCGTCTAAAAAATCAATGTTTCGTTGTCCAAAATTTGACATAGTTCACGCAATCCTGAGACTACGCAGGATGTCCACGTATTCTGATTTTTATCAAACTTGTATCATTCATTCCTTGAAAACCGAAACAACTGCAAGTGCCGCCGTATCTTTTTTTTTGCAAAAATGTCTACTTTCACACATGATGCTACAGCTCTTGATTAAGTAGTTATAGCCGATGCTACAACCGTCACCACGCAAATTCAAAGCTGTGTACTGAAACCCACTTTAAGATCTTAGACTACTACACGTGAAGTGTGGGTAGAAGCATAGAGGAAATACAATTTACTCTTTACTGGTAGAGGGAATGTATCAAAGCTGCTACTTTTATTCAAAGTATATAATACGTTATATACTTATTGTTTATTTTGTTGAGCAAAAATGATATGAAATGGGATAGGCAACACACAATACCTATTGAAATTAATACCCGACTTAAGCTCTACCTACAGCTTAAGACTAAACTTGAGATCCAAGTCGGTCTTAAATTGTTCCACCAGTCACAAACATTTCTCAAGCTTGCCTTAAACGTAAGACGCCAAAATCCACAACTAATCCTAAGTATTATATTAAATTCGCTTCGATTCCTTTTGCAAATTCTAAAAGAAAATTATGTATTTAATGGGTCCAAAAGTTCCTTAAAAAATGTTACAAATATTGGTTTCGGCTATCAAAACGATAATCCAAAAAAAGGTTTAATGGAGCTACCCGATATTGCGTCGATATGTAAAAAATATGCAATCTGCGATTGGACGCCAATGTGTCTTTTTGGATGAAGCGTGAGTATTTGAAAATAGAATATGTAAATCATGGCAAGACGAAAGTGCAAAAAGCGTAAGAAAAATTAAACCCGAGAGACGCGCCAGCGCCAAGCAACATACTGGTATTGATGAGAACAATATTATCTTATAACTATTTAAGATATGTCGTTTTACATGCCGGAAATATGAATGGTCCCAGCTGGGACGATGCACGTTGATGTTTTTGGAAAAAATATGACGTTCGTAGAATCTTGAAATTTGTGACCCGATTTTTATTGTTACACAATTTGTTCAGTGGATTTGCTTCTGGTTTTGTTGTCTTTGTTAATTTAGTTCGTGTATTTGTGTGGGTAGGGTTTTTGGCCCACAGAAGGTTTCCCTGACATCGCCTGGTTGTCTGCGTAATATTTTATATGTTCTCGTCTTTTCCTCCGAAATTTCAATTCAATTTCTTTTCCCATTTGTGTATAAAGAAATCGCCAGTTTTAACATCGACTGACTAACCCAGACTCAAAAGTGCCGCGAAACGTCCGTCGTTTTAACCGATGACGAGCGTGCTAAGCTAAGGAAAATCCTATTATAAGAAGGTAGTATATTTTAACTTTAATGCTCTAAATCTAAATAAATGGATATAGAATTCGCTGATTTTTAAAGTAGTACAAATAAGAAATATAATAATCAATTTTTATTTGCCTGAACGCTTTAGTACTCTTCAAGGAATGTATAGTATGTAACAGTAGCTGTTAATGTGTATTTATTTTTTGAATTTTATGGAGACATGTAAAGTTGGGATTTTTGGTATTGTTCGAACAGTTTAGGCATAGAAAGTCTAGAGTGCCAATATTAGAAGATTGAATTTTCCAACAAATTGTATGGCGGGGGGAATTACAAAAATTCGTAAGTAATTAGCGGAATTAATGATCGTCTTTTCTGCGTCATTTGGTTTCTATAGCGCGTTATCGTCTAAATAGCATTAGGAAATTCTCGACTCGATTCGAGGATAATAAGGGGTAATCTTATCTCGGTGTTGCAAAAATAGCTGACCAAAAAAGTACGCAGCTACAATCTTATCGTACCCCTTTTAAAGATGCTATTAGCAGAATGCGTAGCGTGGATAGCTACAAAATAGCTGGTCAATGTCGGGGGTACCGTCTATAAGATTTATTCTTCTTGGGAAGAAATTTTTCAATTAATCAGTAAACGCCATCTTGGAAAAAGCGTCAATTATTTAATAAAAGAAATAGGTAAATAGGAAGTAGTTAGGCGGGTAAATTTTTGAAAGCACTTGTTTTAAGACTACCAAGAGGGAACCACGTTCGGTTGCCGGAAAAGATTTCGTTCCGACTTTACCAGAGTTGATTTGAAAAGTTAAATTTGTTGCGAGTTTTCCGAAAATGTTACAATTAAAAAAGGGCGACAGCAATTGGAAGCAAAATAGACTTCTCCGTTTAAGGTATAGCTAAATGAATATTTTCCGTTGACATGTAATTAAAAGTGTCACCTGAATTTAAGCGTAATGAAACTATTTGTGCCAATTAAAAAAAACTGAGTTTTTGTGTAGTTGTGGATATATATAAAGACAAGTGTTCTCGCTTAAACGCGTGTGTTTATTTTTTGCCCATTTTACAGCCAATGCTTCGTCACCCTGGCGCTAAAACCATAAAAAGGGGACTGACTTCCTAATTAGAATTCTTAGAAAAAATATACTGATTTTAAACACACGTATTGGAAAAAACCTTCATAAAGGTAAAGTATATGATTTTGCGTAGTGTGCATTTCTCCCATTGTGGTAATAAAAAAGGACGTGTCGATTTGTCGCACATTTAGAGAACAGTTAGTGTTAGATAGACTCTTGTGGTACTTAAAATTTTTGGTTACTTGCAATGTATAAACTTTAGAAGCGATCTTCAAAAAAGGCTGTATACAGAGGGCCGCGATTCGTAGAAGAAAAGATATCCGACCGAAATCCATTTTACAGTCCGTATCCTACCATCCACTAAGGATCGATCATGCGGAGGCTACAAAAGATTCAACGCCGTTACGACACCTGATCGCTATCCCACTTCCCGATAGAACGATTTAACGTATCTACTCACTGGTAATGAAATATTTTCTAAACTAGGAACAAGGGTTGTATGTAAAACGTCTCCGAAACTTAAGCTGGTCCAAAACTAGATTTTGAACTAACACTGCAAGCCTACAATTAAAACTAAAAGAAAATCAAAGGTCTTAAATAAAAGGGCTAAGGATTAATGCAACAATCGTCGATTGTAAGCGAAATTGTAGTATGTAAACCTAAAGAAAAGGTACAAGTCAATTACGGAAAATATAAATGGCGGTACTTACGATAACAACGCAAATTATATCCTCCCCACGGAGATCTATGTATATATGAATCCGTCCTAATTTCTGCGAAATCCCAAATTTAATGTATCCAATTGCCAGAGATTCATAAAATATGGATGATGGCAATTAAAATTCCATTCGTTCTAACTGTTTCAGCTGTTTGAGAAAACGAAGCGTGGCTGGATAAGGTTTTCGGCAGAAAGAAAATGAAAATCGGAACGCTAAAATTGCGTGGTTCAAATTCTATAATTCTTTGGACTTATGGAGAAGCGGTTACGAAAATTTTGTCAGAATCTGAGCTTAATTGAGCCAGCAGGGCCGGCGTTTATGCGAGTGGTTTAGTGACCGTCTGCCACTGCATATGGCCTTATTTTATTGTGATCAAACTTTTGTTAAATATGTAGAGTTTATGAAAATTGAATAATTAACCATTTTAGTCAAAAAGCAAGGAAGAAAATCGTAGAGCTGATTTTTCATTATACCACGAGTAGTCGTTTGTAGGCGAGTCTTAGTCCAAGAAAACTAGATGCATAAAAAAATATGTGAACTCACGATTTCCTGTCTCTCCTTCTTGGTTTATTAGGCCATTGAAATAATGAACTCCTTCCATAACAGAATTTGAACAGTAAGGTATATGATTTCCATTAAGTTGCGGTACAGTTTTATGAATAGACGAACGAACTGATAAAGTAGCCGCAAGATTGCAGTTGCTAAAGTTATGCCATTAATTGTTACAGAAAAAACTTAGGCATAAGGTATTCGTGAATGACTTGCACTCGGAAATTGCGATTTGTGGTGAAATGTAGTAGCGTAAAAAATCCATTTATTATTAAGACAGACTGAAATAAACATCTATGCATAATGCAAATATATTTATGCGTTTCTTCTTCTAGTCATCAAAGTAGATTTAAAATTTCAAATGTTAGTGAAATTAAGACAGGAAACACTGATTTTTCGTTTGTCGAAATAATGTTAACTAGACCTTTAAGTTGGTACTTGCGATCTTTCCGGTGTGGATCCATAAAACACTGGGATATCTCAATAATAATTGGCAAATATCACAATTAATTACCTTTCGAATATAATTTGCCTACTTTATAGGATTGGATTTTTTTATTGATAGTGTAATTGAGTGTTAATTGCCTTGTTGAATAATACGGATGTTTATTTCGCCTATGATAGAAGGTTTATTGAAAACGTCTGTACAAATAATTGCAGTTGTAAAACGTTTATGTAAATTGCTACGAGGAAATTGCGTTTTTGGTTTTCAACGTTGAGCAAAATAATCGAAGCTGGTAGTACAAGTACCATTAGTTTAGCGTGGACGTTTATGAAGTTGCCAGTGCTCATTGAACCAAATAAAAATTGTTACATACAGAGAGATCCCGGTGTATCAGTGAACTATATGTGTATGGAATAAATTCATTTCTGGCGCCATTGGAAAAGACTGAAAAAGGTTGATCTTTTATATTAATTTGACAATTAATAGTATGACTGTATTACCGCCCTTTGAATTATAAGCACCCCCTTAGAAATTTTTAATTAAATGGCGATCTTGCAACTCCATATGTACGGGAATATAAAGTTTTTTTTTAGAATTTGGTTCAATCATAATGGAGAAAACTATTTAAGAGGTATCCATCAGAAAATGGAATAGAGCAATCCCTCTTTTTAAACAGTATCTATTTTTCTTCCACAAAACTTTACAATTGGCAAGA